AATTTAGTTAATTTGATTTAGCAATTGTGAGTAGTTATTTGAGTTATAATGTAAGTGTTGATTAATTAAAGTTACTTGGTTAATTAAAAAATTTTATGAATTAATGTTGATATAGAAAATGTGGAGAACGGGACTAATTTACTGGATTGATTGCCCGACGGATGGGCTGCGTGTTTTGAAAATATTGGATAAATTATTGATATTTCAACAGGTGGATAGTCCAATTTTTAGTGGAGATGCTGCCGAAATTTCGGTAGAAAATAAGTAAAATATAGTTAGATAGAGAAAAAAAAATTTAGACATAAAATAAAATTTTTAGAGTGGTCAAGAATTATTTTGTCTAATAGAATTAATTTTGCGTCATTCTTACTTTGCTTAGATCGCCCGGGTAGATCGCCCGGGTCCGTCTAGTGCTCCTTCCGACCAAAATCAAAGTTAGGGATTCGTTCTCCACTACTGTGAGTAATAATAAATAATGCATGTCAACACTGCATTTGCATAACATTACATTTATATATATTTACATATTGTATTTTCTCATATATATTATGTTATGATCATTATAATTATACTTATGCATAATTGTGCATTTGGATGAAATTGATGTATTATGATAAATGAATTGTTTGATTATTTGTGCTGTGTATATACTGTGCTCTGTTTGGCTCTGTTTGTGGCATGTTGGAGAATGAAAGTGGTCCCCTGGGTTTTGTGAGGCACGGTCGAAATTAATATGGATCCTGATGCAACTGAATGAAATTGGAGCGTCGCTAGGGTAAATGGAGATCCGGCGCCACACCCCGTGGTGCCACCATGAATGAATGAGAATGAATCTTGAAGTGCATATGGAAAAGAAAGAGAGAAATGTAAAATAATATTTGAGTAGGACGTCAAGTGAAGGATTAAGACCGGTCGCGCCAGATATGGGTTAGATGGCTCCCCGGATGTAGCACAGTTTGAGAGATGGGCATAGTTTTGAGAGGACGCTCGTACGGGAGGTTTAGGTGACGCCACTGAACTAATTTCCACGTGATGTGATTATTTGAAGGTGATATTGTTTGTGGGTGCTGATGTAATGTCATATGATTGACTGTTGTGTGTTCATTCAGTATATTATGGTGCATTTTGCTTGACTGTATGTGGTGTGTATTATTTATTATTATTCACTGAGTTGCAAAACTCACCCCTCCCCAACAAACCTTCCAGGTACTAGGAAGCAGCTGATTCGGCTGAAGCTCTGCAATCTTCTCTGCAGAGTTACAAATGTAAACTTTATATTCATGTTATTTAATTTTGGATGTATAAATTATTCTGTTATCAGATTATTTTTGGACTCCGCAGTTATAGATAATATATGAAAACTAGATTATGTACCGCAGTTATATCGGGTTGTCATTAAATTGGGTCCTTGTCGTATGCGTTAACTTTTTATAAATGGGTAATTAATGTATATAGTTGAGTACACTTAGGCTTACTAACTATAAGTTGAGTAATTAGGCTTACTACGGGCCTCGGGGGCCTTATGCTTACCTGGGCCCTAGTGCCGGTCCGGCCCACGGAGTCGGGTCGTGACAGCTCTTCAATCCCGTTTCCAAAGAGATTAGTCTCTCATTTAATTAATTTTAGACAGAAAGATAAAAAGATAGATAAGATTATTTTATTTTAAGAGGGTGAGATGGAATGACAATTATTCTTTCTCCCTCAACTAGAAGCTTTGAGTTTGAATCTAAAAACGGAGTCCTTTTCTTTAAACACTCAAGTGAGAGCATCCCTCCTTTATAAGGCTATATATCCAATGTGAATCTAGATTAATAGGCTCAATGAGTTTCGGATATCGGATGATTCAATCTTTATATATTATAAAATCTTTTATACAATCAACTTGCTCAAAAAAGTACATTTAAATTTTTTTTTTTTTTTTCAATACTATGATCGAATGGTTTCTAACATTTATATATATACTTTACTTACAAGATAATGATCATAAGGAAAAAGTTTAGATCTCAATATAATTTATTTAGAGAATTTTTTTTCTTATTAAAATCAGACTCTCATTATAATAATTTGAATTCATAGACCTGAATATATTTTCATATTTTAATACCTTGTATAGTTGACATATATCTAGCATGCTGCCTGCCATAATTGCATGTAACAGAAAAGAACAGTAGAGGCCATTGAGTTCCAAACCAAAGAACAGAAATATACAGAGTAGTAGTAGCCTAGTTTGACTTTTAGAGGATTATAAAGATAGCATCAGTGACCACTATATAGGTTAGCTAGCTTCAAATAACCCAGACAGAGACTATGCATATATATATATATATATTATATACATACAAAATTTTATAGAAATAAACTCCTTTTTCATTGATCTAACCGTGTAATGATTTTTGTTTTGAATTATGAGAAGCGTTAAAGAAAACTGAAACCAAACAAACAGCGTAAAAAAGAAGATAAAAAAGAAAAAGGAAGGGATTATAGGTTTTGGGCTCACTAACTGTCTGGTACTTGTCAATTGTCCTCAAATCGTACCAAGGACGATTACGATATGCCCACGAGGGGGTAACGTGCAAATAGGGTCATGATTTTGTATTGTTGTATGAAAAATAATGATTTTGTAATTTGTTTTGTATGAAACTTGTCAATTGTCCTCAAATCGTACCAAGGACGATTACGATATGCCCACGAGGGGGTAACGTGCAAATAGGGTCATGATTTTGTATTGTTGTATGAAAAATAATGGCAGACCCACCTCTCAATATTCAACTTCACATGAAAGTTGAAACCCTAACACTAATTATGTTTTCTTTTAAAAAATTATGAATTTGGCAATGGAAATTTCACAAAGAAAGAAACAACAGCAAAGACAACCACTTAAGCATCAAAACAAAATGTATTGGGGACCTTAACACATGGGGAGGTGGAAGTTGGGTGGCTTTGAGCTTGTGGAAGTGGAGCCAACTAAAAGTTTTCAGAATCTTTCTTTCTTTCTTTCTTTCTTTCTTTTTTCTTCTTTTCATGTTTATTATAATACAATCTTCATTTTTAATTGGGTGAGAAGCAACTTATAATTATACACTGGCAATTTCCACTGCTATTGTCTTAGGTTCATATTTGATTTGATTATCTCCAACTCTTTTTCTTTATTTGGATGATGTTTATCTTGATTTTTAATTTGCTTTCTAGGAATCTTAGGTTCCCAAAAGCTGACACATAATCATCTTGAAATTACTAATTCATGCTTAAAAGCTGGAACTTCTTCATACATTTTGATTGCTGACAGCTTGGTTCTACAAATCTTTTAGATTTATAATCAATTACAAGAGATTGGTAGATTTCATTGGAAGAAATGACATTTCATTGGCAAACCCTAATCAAATTAGTATTATTTTCACAATCGAATATTGACTCTTTCAATTTTTTTGTTCCTTTGTAGAGATAACTCGAGTACGAATCTTTCAGACTATTTAAAAAAAAAACAAAAGAATACATATCTATCAATTCAATTCAATTATTTCATTACATTTAAAGCATTTTTTGAAAATTGACGTATGGGCATTGTGTGATTGAAAATTGATAAAAATTAATTATGTGTCTGATTAGAATATGTGAGTCCATAAATGAGAGCGATGACTCCAAAAAATAAAATATTGAAGGGTCAATTATAAAATCAACATTAACATAATTTGTCAACATTGACAAGCTTGTTTTCTTTGCCTCCATAACCTAGCTAGTTGCGGTGACAAGTTCAAGCACATGCAAAGGTTTAGTACTTTTCTCGGTTCTCTCTATTGTTGGCTGTCAGCTTTGTTATTATATGACCGACCTGTGCCTATTAAAATCGTTTCAAAACGACACTCATTAGGATCAGTATCGGCATGCAGAATCATGTAAACAAATAATGTCCACAACCATTACCTTACTCCAATACAAAAATAATTTTATTTTATTTTTAGTTCTTTCTTTTTAATATAATTTTTATTCTACTTTTCCATTTCATATGTTCCAATTTGTTATTCTATTTCCTTTAATTTTTGAAAAATATTATAATTTAATCTCATCTAATATGCTTCTTTTTCTATAAATATACTATTCATTTTGAATGTAAAAATATGAAATTAGAAAAAAAAAAAAAAGGAAAAAAGGTTTAATATTAGTATAGTAATAGTACTTAAAAGTAATAAATGAAAAGTGATAGAAAAGTTCCCTTAAATTTGGTGGGTGCACTCTATACGAACAAGATGAAAAGATAAAGTATAAAAGTGAAAAACTGTAATGGAGCAGAGGATTATGGTTACGGACCAGGAAGCAGTCGAGCACACGTGAAGGGGATAAGGATAGACATAGTCCTTCCCTTTCCCTTCTGCTTGCTCTTCTCTCTGCCTCCAACTTGCATATGATTTTTCTTTTCTTTTATTTTATTTTTTTTCCAATTTTAAGAGGTAATTTATGTTGAGGAGGTAAAGTTTTTAACACCAGAATCAAAGAAGAGGAAATGATTAATTAAGGTTGTTGATAAATACATTAATGATTAATTAATTAAGTTTTTAATAATTGAGGAAAAAACTTGGTTTGGGTACACAATTATACATAAACAGGCTAAATATACTCTTTATGTGAAAAATAATTTTTCCAAATTACTACATTTGCAATGTCATTAAATTTTTTTTTTTTTAAAAAAAAAAAAGTATTTTGTTGAATGGAATCTGTAAAGAAAAATAATTAAATTGGTTCAGGTATACATCTTAATCGAATGCTTTGTTTTTGATTGATTTGATTTTGGCTGTATCTGACACTTTCCCTAGATTGTTGTGTAGACTCAATTATCTGTTGCATTAATTTAGCGATAGATCCTCTTCTCTTCTCCTCGACATCTATTCTACCTTCATTCACTTTTTACTGCTTCAAGAATTTACCTATTTACTGCACTATTCCTCATTTATCAATGTTCCTATTTGAACAAACATCATTTAACTGCAACTCCATGTACTTTCAACTGTTTTAGCATTTTTGCTACAATTAATTGTTACGAGTAATATTTCTTTTTATCATTTCTGTTATAACCTTACATTTAGTTATAATTACAATTTCATTCTTATTATTTCGTAAATATTTTAAAACTATCATATTAAATTATTTAGTTCTTTTATACCAAAAAAAATTATATCACTTTAGAGATTTAGATATTCTATAATATTTAAGTATTTGGTCGTTCACATTTAATATAGCAGTACTCTTTAGTTCTTGATATTTACTATTAAATTATTATTTAGTCCTCGTTTAACATAGAAACAGAACTTTTTTTGAATAGATAATTAAATGATTTTGATGGATGAAAATCTTAATCCTTGTAATTATGATTAAATTTAAGCGTTTATATAATTTTTAATTATCTATTATATTTTTAGAATATTGCTCAATTGATTATTGAATTAGTAATGAATATTTAGAATAAGATTCTAATATTATGTTTAGTGAACCATAAAGAAGCACAATTAAAAATATTTTTAGTATAATATATCTAAAAAATTAATAAAAATAAAACACAAATTTATCAAAATCATAATAATTTAATTAAAAATATAATACGGTTAATACTAAATTTATATTTTATGGTTTGATAGTTATAAATTATAAAGTAGTAAAGCAAAAGAAGGGAAGGGAAGAAGGTAAAAAGGAGAAGAAAAAAAGGGACAAATAGGAAAGAGACAAAGTGGGTGAGGAAATATCAGAGAAAAAGACGAAGGAGAAAAGAGTAGAGTGAATAAAACAGGTGCACGTGGACAGAAGTAGCCACACGTGCACTCAATCATCATGTCCGCTTTTCTCTTTCCCTATGAGGGGATAAGATGTTATGTTTAGCTGACATTCTTTTATCCAACCGTGGGCCTCCTCCTCTTCCATTTGGATTGTGAGTCTCAAGACCTCTCATTTAATATTTTTTTATATTAATTAAATGGTAGTAATTCTCAATAAATATATATTTTTTTATATTTTTTCACTTTTCATACGAATTAAAATCATTTCAATTATAAAAAAATAATGTATTAATATTCATTTAATTGAAAAAAAAAATTTAATGTACATAACGAATAAAGTTAAAATAAATAATTGATATTATTTAAATAAAAAAATAAAAAACTGTCAATTTTAATCAAACAAATGAAGTATGAAATTTATAATTTGTAAATAGACTTGATTTTATTGGTTAAAAGCAAAATAAAAATAAAAAAAAGGTTAACATGCATGATTCCTTTTCAATACCTTTCAAGAAGTTTCAAATTTCTTTCCAAGAAAATTATTCATTAGATAGTGCCAAAAA